TATGGTTGAGTTTTCTGTTGTTGGTAATTTGTTTTTTGGAGAATTCAAATTTAGATTTTCGGTTTACCCTATTAGTGCTACTCATTAATATCAACGTTTTGGGACAAACTAGAGAAAAGAAAAGGTCAGTTATGTATTGCTTGTTACTTTAAATTATTTCTAGTGTGTTTTTATACAATAAATTGAAATACCAAAAATCGGTTGATATAACGGTGCAATGTAGTGGTAAAATTCAGGAAAGATAAGCAAATTATGCTAGGCAAATATATATTAATTACAAATAATTAGTTAAACCAGAAATTTCATAATTGTACATTGGAAATGTAGATTCCAAAATTCCCCACTCATTATTGATGAATTGATCCGTGTTTCTCGAACTATCAATACTAAAATACAAATAATGAACTCAATCTCAGCCTGTTTGTTACCTCTATAAGATGTATTTTTGTTCTTTAGTTCTGTTTTGGCAGCAACCAATTACAAAAAAGATGTAGGGAAGAAAGGCGTGCCTTAATCATAATCAGTCTGTCTAAACCGTAAGCATCCCGTTACACCTAATATATCATGGTAACAAAACATGCACAAATTTCAAGTGTTTGGTCGATCATCAACATCCCTTTCTCCACCTTGTACAGTGCCCATGTCACGACCCACCAAAAAAACGTTGTTAAATACAGTCGCTTTGCAATTGTAAATTATAAAGGCAAACTATTTGTTATACACACACACACACACAAACATAGCAAGTCCAAGAAAAAAACAGGTGAACGTGCAAAATGACAGATGGTAGAATGAGCCAAAATCTTTGTGAAATACCTGAAGTGAAAGTGTGCCAACAACAGACGCAGGCAACCAATTCCCAAATACCGAGCCTGAGAAACTTCAGTAACATTCTTCCGTCACTTAGAGCATAAAACCTGAACCAAGAATTCCTTTTCACCGCGGGATTCCAAAACAATAATATGATTAAATTGCAAACATACAATGGAAGTCCCTTGTTCCATTTGATTTACCTAAGTACATCATTATCCTGGTGAGCTCAAGCTATAACCTAAGCGCAAAGAAAATGTTTTTCCTAAGGGGATAGAAAAGACAAATGACTAAACTGCAACATACTAAATGAAGGGCCTTTTTTGAGATTGAACTCTCACCTATTTGGAAATTAATAGAGATTCCCACCGAACACAAACCACAAAGGTTTTTAATCTTTAAGATTACTGCCATTTTGACTAAGGGGCATATGAATGGGTGGCTATACAAAATAGAAGGATAGAAAAGAATCATATACTTTATCATATGTGGAATATTTTCATAAGAGTATTTTTTCTAATTTAGGACACCCATAAACAACAGGCAGAACTCAGAAAGAAGGTGGTCAAATTTGTTGGGAGAAAAACTGAAATGAAGAATACAGATTCAGTTGATAGGAAAAGAACCCTTAAACAAAACAGAGCTGGATAGACCAAGTTTGGATTCCAATTGGTGCCTTGAATTGTAGAATTTATTGGAATTAATATCGATTAAATTTCTGTTCAATTTAAATGAGGATCAATTGCAGATGCACAATACCAATCCAAGTAGTTAACTAACAATTCCTTTTCTTGGACCTCACTGTCCTTAGGCATTTGCCTCAGTGCTGAGTAAGGATGCTAAGGTGGAGTGCCATTTTGGAGCAAGATCACCAGCCAGTTAACTTTTAAAGAGAAGGCCATGACTAAAGCATAAAGAGCTCGCAAACTTGAAACCCTAGCTCCCAAAACATACGAACTTCAAGCATTTTTCAACGCCAAGATACAGATTCAGTTGAAGGAAAGAACCTTAACAAAAAACAAGTAGGTAGACCAGTTTGGATTCCCAATTTGCCTTGAATTGTAAATGTAAATAAAGAATTTAAATTCTGTTCATTTAAATGAGGATCAATTGCAGATGCACACCAATCACAAGTAGTTACTACAATCCTTTCTTGGACCTCACCTGTCTTAGGCATTTGCTCAGTGCTGAGTAAGGAATGCTAGGTGGTGCCATTTGGAGCAAGACACCGGCAGTACTTTTAAAGAGAGGCATGACAAGCATAAAAACTGCAACTGAAACTAGCCCCAAACATAGAACTTCAGCATTTTCAACCCTACAATTAAGGGAAAAATTTACAAACAAAAGAAGAATCAGCTGAGGAAAGGAGGAGGATAAGAAAGACTCTAGGGGCAAGTTTGCAGAACTACAGCTGAAGATGAAAGATGAAGCAACATACCCAAGGGACAAAAACCAAGAAGCCAATATTAAACCTGCACTGAGAAACGATAAAAGTATACCAGTTTAACATGAATACATAAAACACAAGCAAGTAGATGGGAAAAGAAACGCTAGTGCAATGTCAGTAGCAATATATAGAGATAGAGAGAAAACCTGCGAATAGAATCAGCAAGGACATGCAAGCAAACTGAGTGATAATTCATATCTTCTGCTTTTCTGTACACTGCAATTAAAAATGCATATAAAAATTGTCCTGAATGGAAGGGGAAATATTTAAGACTAGCCCAAATAGTGACCATCAATATAATCCGGTAACCCACATGCAAGCAACATATAAAGCCTACTTAAAAATCAAGTTGGTAAATCACCATTTTGTTTTACAGATTACCATCCTTACAGTCAGCAAAAGAAAATACTTGAGTTTTGCAGATATCGGCATTTATCTAAAGACATGTAAAACTGCAGCAGATGGATAACTTACCAAGATTAATGCGAGCATAGCTCCTAAAGAACCAAACACCAATAAGATTTACAAGTAAATTTGTTACTGCTGAAACAATCAAATAATGCCTGCAGAAGGATTTCATAAGCAAAATTACTAACAAATTATCTCAATATAAATGAACCATAAAGTCCATGACAATCTACACATAATTAGTAAACACGAGTTATTCCAAATATAGGGATTGAAACAATATATTAAGATCACTATTATGGTCTCAAAGTCTATACAATCAACTTACTTGTGTTCAGACTCTTCTTGTATGAATGCATGAAGTGCCTCCACTGCTAAGGAAAATGACATGAACAAAAGAAACAGCTGTCTACACATGCAGCAAAGAAACAAAGAACACCCAGATGTTAGATCAAAACAAACGGCAATAGCTATGATCATTGAAGGTTTTAATGTGCAACTGCTAGAAGAATCAAAATAAAAATATATGAAAAATGCAAATATAAGTTCAAATGATTCTAAATTGGATATGTGCCTAAGTGCCTTTGGTGCTAGAGAAACGATCACACTGATAAAAATCATGAACCTGTAAGCAAACTCATATCATATATTTTATACATATGCAAAGAGAAAACACTAGCCTCAAGATGTTGCTCAAACATTTGTGTGTGGATTTGTGCATAAAAATATGTAGAATTGAAGATTATGCCTATTCCACGTAAGACAAATATTCTCAAGTTTTCAAATAGTGGTTTACTCACAAGTCACAACATTTACCAATTTTATCTATGTTGTAGTTTATTGTTGTACCAACAACAGTTTAATGACTTCAGTAGATTTCTGTCATTATACTACCACTTCATTATTATCGTTAAATTTCATTTAAATTAAAACATGTACAGCAACATAAATCATTTAAGTACCAGCAAATCTCATCATTTCACAGTATAATTCTACACTGAACTATATCTCCCTAAGTTGAATTTAAACTCTAATATCAAAGCTGACTAATCTTTTAATCACTAGAGCCAATGCAACTGGTTTGTGCTTTAAGTGAACAATAAATCTAGACATGTGCCTACAATATTCAGAACAAGTATAAATGTCTATCATCCGGAAAAAAATCAGAGCCATAATATAGGAGGTTTGCTTATGTAATTCATTCATAATCATCCCAGAAGTACCAAACAAAAGCTTCCAAAATGACCACAAATTAATGTTTTCCCCAAAAGAGTAGCCTAGGCCCTGAATACACTATTCCGATCCCCTCAAGTCATGTCAATCATAGTTAAAAGGGATATGGAAGCTTTGTGCATATAAAAGAGAAACAAGATATATAGAGCAGGAAATGCCATAAACTTACAGCATTAGTAAAGGCAGCCAAAACTTCAATCCTTTTGTATCTGGTAAAAAGAATTCAACATATGAAAAAAAAAAAAAAAATGCACCAAAATATGGATCAATATAAAGACAGCTAAGATGAGTAGATTGCAATTAGCTGAGGTACCTGCAAATAATAGATTGAAAACTCACCCATAAGTGTATATATGATCAGCCTTTTTCCGAGAAGCAGCCATAGCAAAGAAAGAAAACGTTAAAAGACCACAGCCAAATGTCAAATGAAATGCATCAGATACCAAACCTGAAAAAACACCAAAATTGCAAATCATTACACTCAACATAATATTCATATCCGTAAAACTGTATATAACCTAAAAATCCTCAACATCAACAAAGACCCTAATTAACAAACTGTTTCCTTTTTAAAAAAAAAAAAAACAAAAACAAAAGAAAAAAAAAATAGAGAAGAGTGATCTAAATTCTTACCAACACGCCCTGTAAAGAGCCCGATTGCCAATTCTGCAGTAGAATAAGCAACATTTAGTGAAATCATCATCAAGAGCCTCTTCATTTGCCTATTCCCGGACCTTACAGCTCTAAATACTGAAATCACAGAATACAAAACTGATAAGGTGTTTTTCCCTGAGCCTTCTGTCTCTTTATAAACGCTTTCCTTTTCGTAGTTTAAGGTGTAAATCTCCGGCGGCACATCTATACTGGAAACGGTGCGAGAAAGCAGGGGCCTCGATGTGTCATTCGACATAATAGAAATCGGAGTATGTGATTCTCCTCCAGATTGATGAAACGAAGATTGACGCCAATAAGCGTACCTACGATCGGATACCGAACCAAAATCTCCAGTCCATGGATGTTGCAAGTCGTTTTCTTGCTTAAACGAATTGCTCTTCTCCATTTTGTGAAAAGCTGGAAACTGGAAGTGAAATCAAAACCCTAGTTTGGAGGCAGATTTGAAATGAAACCTTAAGCCCATGAAATTAATTGATCAAACATGGAAAATATCGGAGAAATCAGTGAAAATAGAAAAGTCTCGCCGGGGAGAGACTGCTTAAAGTCAAGTAAACAAGCAAGACTCTAACAATACAATGGTTGCGATTAGTTAAATTCCAAGAACTCTCCTGGAAGCTGGCATGTTAATGTTAGTTTCATGGACCATTGATTTATCTTTTTTTTTTTCTTTTCTAAAAATTTGTTCTGGCTTTTTGCTCTAGGAATATTGTAAATGGATAATATTTATAAAAAAAAATTTATTCAATATCTATAACTAATATTAACGGATTTAAATTTATTTTTAATATAATTTTGAAAATCACTTATTAATGGAATATATATACGTATATATATAGTTGTGGTTTTTTTTCAAAAATAATAATAGTAAAAAAAAAATCTGGCAATTAATGAAATGCTTAAGTTTTTAAATATATGTTAACTAGTTTTATTTTATTGAATTATTTTAGGGTGAGAAAAGTATAAAATAATATATGACTGATAAATGAATTTATTAAATTATGAAATATTAAAAATATTTAGTAAAGAGAAATAGGAATTAAATTTAAAGATGATCGGAGATCACCACATGACAATTAAATGACCTTAACAATCTTTTAGGCTTGAGTTTATAGATAGATAAAGGTGCAAATATAAATATAGAATGTTAAATAATGATCAAAATTATGTTAAATACTAAAAATTTCAAAAATTCTTTTTTTCTTTTTTTGAAAGATAGAGCTTATTATTACAGTTTCAGAAATTCTTTTTTTTTTCTTTAATTCATCGAATGTTTTTATAAACCAAAATAACACTGCGTAGCCCTTCTCTTAGCTCACCAAGTTGATGACATAAACTGTGGTCGAGAGGAGTTTGAGATATTCCTTAATTTTGCTATTTTTTGAAAAAAAAAAATTTAGTAACTTGCCTTTACTAAAGGATTAGACATATCAATATAATTAGACAATATTGATTGGGATAAACTAAATCATCTCCCAAAGCTCTTAGAGTACAAATTAAAATCTTCATCAATCCAAGTAACAAATTACATATTTTGATCAACTAGAATATCTCCCAAGCTTGAGTACCAGAAAAATTCAAATTTCTATTTCTTTCCATTTTGATCAAATCTTTTAAATTAATTTAATCTGAGAAAATCAATTACAAATCTAATCCATCCATCAAAACTGGAATAAAAATTAAAATACTATTATTATTATTATTATTATTATTATTATTATTATTATTATTATTCTATTTCAAGTATGCAAGAAAAACAGAACTCTCAGGTTTTCAAACATGGATAGAGAGTTTGAAACCAGGAATCTTCCAATGATTTTCAATGGTCACAGTTTTAGACTTCAATGCACGGAAAATTAAACTGTACATTTTGGAGGGAGTATAGCTAACAATCAAAATAAAATATAGGTAACATCAAAACTAGGACATTGGCCAATTACAAAAGAAACAGCAACTGTGGAGGAAAAAGGTGCCTTCCTGATAATTGTGGCATAGTATCATACGTTCACTCCTTCGGTATCCTCCAAATTATCAGTTGGGGTTTACCCGCCCAATCTTTCTCCATGGTACGAAAAATAAAAGAATTTCAAACCAGCTATCAATAAGCATTTCAGGCTTCAATCAGTTAATCATCTCACAAGACAGGTCAAGAATCACCATTTTCAGGACTGCAAATGATAATCAAGAGTATAGGCGTGGATGTCAGAAGGGCTTGTGCCAGGCCTGCCAACAAACATCGGGAACAAAATGAGAAAAACAAAATTAGCAGGCCAAAAATGAGAACTTGAATAATAAGTTAACGATGAAAATAGTGAAAATAAGGAGGACAAGGGAGAGTGATATTCGGTCAATCATAATGGAATAAATTTTCAATTCACCATTCCATTGAGGTATTATTTCATCACATTCCGTGCATTCAGTGATCAAGAACTTTCAGAAAAGAATTTGAGTTTAAACTAAACCTCATGAAAGTCATGTCCCACTAGACTGAGCACAAGCACTAAAATTGGAGCGAATAGAAGCATCAAAGAAAAATGTTACAACTATTTAGCAACACAACAAGAAAATGTAACACTTTGGTGTTGAATTATAGGGAAGAAAGTCAAGACATGTTCAAGTACCATATAACCTAGATAAATATTGGCAGAGAATTGGAAGGATAATAAGAAGATAGATAAATATTTTCAAAAGAAAGAAAAAAGTAAAAGAAGAAAAACAGCTCTTCTTTTTCTCCATTTATATCAAATGGATTATAGAAAATCGCTGGCACCTGCCAAGTTGAGTCTCTACAAGCACTCATCTCGCTTCCTGAACTATGAACGTAACCCCTACCAACAACAAGAAGAATGTTACGCTTTGTCAATTTCTGATAGGTCACATGGCAGGGCTGGATGGTGTTACACAAATAGCCAATGTCACATGGTTCAGAGAAATCACGGTATAGATTATCAGTGTGCTGTATGTATCCTCAAGTGAAATTTCTTTCTTCTTTGTCCCAGGAGGAAAAATGCTTACAAATAAATTTTACTAATACATTTTAATGTACCTTTTGTTAATGGTACCATAATGAAATTTTAGGCTTCCACCTTTAACGTCCTCAATGTACTGCAACCACAGGAGAGGCTGATCAGTGACGAAATGAGTGCAGAGACATTCCATGCAACATTGATGAAGCAATCTCTTACCAAATTTAAGGTGACAAACATTGATGAAAATGCCAGAGAATCAAAAGGTATATCATCCAGAGAAAAAAGCCTGCACTCCAATGACTCTGGACCTGGTGAAAAATGGGGCTTCTTCAACTTCGCAATGAAAATTATGTACGTCTGTTCCAAACAAGGGAGAAAAAACACAGAAAACCATTGAGCAGGTTTAAAGGAAGTCAATGCGACTCGTGAGATGCATTTCTTTCTTACTTGGCCAATAAGAGGGATGTCCAATTGTGCAAAAGGTGACACAACTTCTACTTCTGCACGTGCTTCTTCCCAGGTTTCCCTGATTGCCCCTTCAGCAGCTGACTCGCCAATTTCCAAGTAACCAGCAGGAAGGGTCCTGTGTCAGTGCCATTCAATTAATTATCCAGGTTATGGGGAATGAAAATTTAAGTTCTAAAAGCAGCTATATCAAAAAACAAAGAGAGAAAAAAAAAACACGAAAGAGCATACTGGAAAGTAAATGAATCCTTTTGTTTTTCTTTAAGACAACAAAACCTGAACTTGTTCTAACCTAACTAAAAACCCTAATTTGTATATACATACCAAAGGCCATACGATGGTTGGATATTTCGCTTGCAGAGTAGAATCTTGTTATCATGCTCAATGAGGCATCCCACCACCTATATGTATCGGTTTGAAACAAACAATAAATCACAACAGCATCACATTCAAAATTAAGCGTTGATTAATGTGCATCATCAATCAAAAGAAACTCACAATCTAGAAGATACAGCACAATCAGAGGCACAAAAAAAAAAAAAAAAAAAAAAAAAAAAAAAAATCACTTCTAATAAGCTGAGGTTTTTTGGTATCGGGCAAAATAGTCTAGCAGAAAAAAGAACTTGATAAAATACACACAACATTGGTACATGACTCCTGATATTCAGTGAGGATCAATACAAAAACTTTTTTCCACCCCTATTCATCTCCAACAGACATTTCTTCTTTTTTTCAGGCATCCAATGCACACCTCACTTTCAATGTCAGTTTCCTGAAAAAATCAACAAAGAAACACCCATCACTAAATATTCACTCATAATTTCCACCATTTCAATGGGCAAAGAGGTTCAACTATTATACTCTCTACTAAGTCCATTCTAAAACATTTCAAAAAAAAAAAAAAAAAAAAAAAAATCATTCTAATAAGCTGAGGTTTTGGTATGGGCAAAATAGTCTAGCAGAAAAAGAACTTGATAAAATACACACAACATTGGTACATGACTCCTGATATCAGTGAGGATCAATACAAAACTTTTTCCACCCTATTCATCTCCAACAGACATTCTCTTTTTTTCAGCATCCAATGCACACTCACTTTCAATGTCATTGAATCAACAAGAACAATCACTAAAATTCACTCATAATTTCACCATTCAATGGCAAAGAGTTCAACTATTATACTCTGTACATCATCTAAACATTTCATCTCCTCTAATCTAAAAAATTTGCCCCATAATTAAATTGTTTATTTTGTCCATTGTACATCATACTCAATTATCATGATGCTTAAGTAATAATTTATGATCAAATTTTCATAAATGCTGAAAAATAATTATATATAGCAGTCATGCAAGTTGCATTAGACAAATGCCAAACTATTCTTGTTTGCAACCAACATACAAGGAGGAAAACCAACATACAAGGAGGAAGAGAAAAAAATATCTATAGAGGGAAAGGTGTCTCTCAATAATTTCACCAACAACGGCAATCAAACAAACCAGCAGAAATCTACAACACAGTTTTGACCGTGACAGTGAAAGACTTTACCATTTTGGGGTTTTGATAGGCAATTTTCCCACAAATTGTGCAAATAGCTCTTGTCTTTTCCTCCCCATCAGGTATCTCATGCTTTGTTGCACCACCACACCACTGACAAAAATTGATCTTCCGAGCATTTGCCTACACAGAATAAAATAAATTCTAACTGCAAAGAACAATAAGGAGCAAAATAATTGAGAAAATATAAACACATATCTTAGTATAAGTAGCAACTGAAAGGCGAAAACATTAAAATTATTAACATGAATTCCTTGATCAAATTAATCCAAAATCAGACCATTCCTAAAACCTGCACAAGGCCAACGTGACCAAGAATTTTATCAATATGCAAAGCTAGTAACATTCAAATAATCGCCCAACATGAATCCTTTCTAGATTAGTAGCTCGGCACTTTTGTTTAACAAATAAAAGCACTCAGAAAATATTAGGATTCCACAATGAGGCAAAAAAGAATCCAATAAGTAGATAATCAATACAAGTCGCAAAACTCATTTCCGCATAAAAATTAATTACCCAACTGCCAGAAAATATGATCAGACAATTATCTATAAACAAAATTTAAAAAGAAAAATACATTTCCTTAGGAACATAGACAAAGTCCAAAGATTTCAAAGAACAAAGAAAAGAGAATTGAATTAAATTAAAGTCCATAACTGTGAAGGACCTGAGGAACTAAAAGAAACTCACAGCTGAGTGAACTGTTGCTGAAGAAGAAGAAGTGCCATCCATCTTTGATTCGGACCGAGTTGACTGTGCACGAATTGGCCTCAACGAAGTAGCTTTGCGACTCGAAAAAGAGGATAATAGCAACTTTCTTGTGGGTCCTTTGGTAGAGGTAGAGTAGGATAATGGGTTGGAGACAGAGATAAAACAGCTAGTGGAATGTGGTATCCAATTCCATCGATAAGCCACGAACCCTGATGATGAACCCAGAAACTGTATTGCTTTTAGCATTGAAATTCTCAAGGTCAAAATGGGTTCTTGAATTAGAGAGTTAATTTTATTTGAGGATCGGTTACAAAATATAAACAATGACTGTGATTTACTGTTAAAGCAACCGAATAAATGCAAACCAGATCCCGAGTCAACTCAGTTACGTTTACCGACCTCAGCCCGGGTTGGAATCTCAGTTTCTCTTATTTGTTGATCGAATCAGGAATGGGGAATTACCTCATCCTATGTCCCAAAGCCACGTGGCATATTTTTTCTTGCAGCACGGAGTTTTCAAGCTAATTATTAATTATTTTTTACCATAATCAATATGTAATAATGTTAGAACGTTAAGTCTTTTGGTGAGGTAAAAAAATGACCATCATATTATTATTTCGATTCATTAAGTCATGAATAAAAAAACAATAATATTAGTTAAAAAAACAAAAAATTATCAAGGTAAATCACTTACAATTACAATAAGAGTATTTTTCAGTTCTTTTTAAATTGATTAATAGGCTACTTTGAATAAGATGGATGATTAATTATTTAAATTTGGAGTAAAAACGAACATGAATATTAAAAATATCATCCATAAACCATTAAATTAATTACATTCTGAAACTCGCTAAAAGACTAGATAACGTACATAAATGCGCTAATTAGAAGTATCTTTAATTATATTAAATTACGTTCTATTACAGCTTTCTGTGTTTGGCGTACACAAGAATAATAATGTAAGAATAGATGTAGGTATATAATTAACACTGAAGGCATAGAGATTACGTACAAACTTACAATCATAAATAAAATTTGGCAACATAAGAGTCAATATTAGCTGGTTTTTATGGTTTACCAAACTTTTAATGCACCAAAAGAACTAAATATTGAAATGCCATTCATATAATATAATACAATGGTGCAATAGAGAGCTCTGCAATGTGCTAAACCTAACTTGAATTTATAAATTGGGAACTTTTTAATAATACATTTAGCGACTAAAAAGGGCATGCTACTGCCATCATTTGGTGATTATTTCATACGTACACCTGTGGTTGGAATGTGCTAATTCCAGCAACATCGCACCAAACTCACAAGCAATGAAAATTCAATAAAAGTTTTCCAGAGTACATTAAATCAACCTGCATGGCCGAGGGAATTGCAGCGTGCGTCTAGAGGTCATGTATAGACTAATATGCTTAGGACAATCTCTAAGCCGTGCCCAGCTTATCACATAGAGATTGATATGCTGCACTGCAATGCTTGAACTTTTCCTCCGCAATTGCCTGTTCAATAACATATATTATTTGCTCAGTTCATAACAATTCACTTGCTGTGATCGCACAAGCAATGATATTGGCTTCAAGATCACTGGAATAACTTGAACAGTAAAGTATTAATTAGAATATCCAAAAAAAAAAAATATTTGCCATATAGCATTATTGATGAAGGCAGAAGATTTTACGTACTGTACGAGATAAATTTTGTTTCACAACATAATTCTCTCCCCCTCTCTTTTGGTAAAGAGGAATTATATTGTAATTGACAAAATATGAAGCTCAATAGATTGAGCAACTTTTATTAAGAGGCTCTGCACCAATATTTTGAAAAATATCAAGCAACCTTTTGTTTTGGGGTTTGGCCACCATTCCAAAATTAAGTGTAGTAACCTAATGCTCTTACTGGAGCTAAATTAATGAATCTCAACATGCAGCAAAGCTTAGCACACAACTGGACAAAGTTATTAGTACCTTAGAAGAGCCCTGGTGACGATCTGGATGCCATTTCAGTGCACATGCCCGATATCTGCGAGTAGAAATCCACAAAAAAATGCAAGAGCCTTTCAATTGTCAACGTGTTCAACAAAAATTAGTTAGACATGTGTAATCAAGATATAAGTCTATTAAGAACTCACGCATTTTTAACATCTTCAAGTTTAAGAGGACCAGAAGCATTCAGCCCAAGAGCAATCCTCTCTGAAGCCAAATTTGAATCCACATTATCATCTGACTCAGTTGAAGAATCATGATCATATTCAACCCGGTATCTCCAGTTCCTTCCATAGTAATTAGAGTAGCTAGATGAACTCCTCCATTGAGGATTCCCTCCATTTATAAAAGACCAGTAGAAGTATCGGTTCCCACCAAACATAGATCGGAAGATGTTTTCAACATCAATATCGTCTTCACAAAACTGGAAACCTTCTGAACAAAATAAGTCACAAACCATATGAATTTCTAATGCAACTCCAGAAAAGCAGAAAAAATAAAAAAAGGAATCCAAGACTAAAAGACACAATATTAGCCTCATTAAAATCTAAAAAAATAGCAACAGAAATCTAATTAAATCATTTCATGCATGAAGAGAAGATTCACCATGCATTTTGGGAACTAATTTAAGTCTTTTGTAGGATTGAGATCCACACTAAAAAAGCACATATAACAAACCCAAAATGCTTTTCATTTTGACTAATGAACAACTTCCAGAATAGATTTGAAGATTACTTAGTGACCCTTTACCCGTCCCATCACCTTCAAACACATTACAGATACACAATTTGATAAGGGACTCTTGCAAGTACTCTTGCAAGAGACACTCTTGCAAGTACTCCTGCAAGAGACTGGACTCCTAACTTCGCCCCAAAAGCTAGCTCGTAGAGGAAAGATTGAACTCAGCCTTATACACTAGTCCAGGATGTACTCCACGGGCGATGTGGGACGCATCATCCCCACCCCCATAAGATCTGACTACTTCAGTTGGCGTTCTGACGAACTCCATGAGACACCGACCCTACGGAGCCAGAGCTCTGGAGCAGATGTGAGACGCAATCACATCCCCAGCCTTCACCTTAAGATCTCGATACTGTTCAGTCGGGCCGTTACAACTGTATGTATATATAATGAGACAGCCTGACCCTACGGCCCAGAGCTCTGATCACCGAAATGATAAAGACGACTCTTGGCAAATACTCTTTGGCAACAGAGGACTAGGACCCCTAAGGTTCGCCCCTTAAATTGCAAAAGCTCACGTGGGACGCATCATCCCCACCCCCATAAGATCTGACTACTTCAGTTGGCGTTCTGACGAACTCCATGAGACACCGACCCTACGGAGCCAGAGCTCTGATACCAAATGATAAGAGACTCTTGCAAATACTCTTGCAAGAGACTGGACCCCTAAGTTCGCCCCAAAAGCTAGCTCGTAGAGGAATGATTGAACTCAGCCTTATACACTAGCCGAGGATATACTCCGCAGGCGATGTGGGACGCATCACAATTTGACATGGCATCATTACAAGATTGATAAGTCATGTTAAGTGCATAGGGACTTCAACTGTACTTACTTTTACCTGAACGCCAGGCTCCCTGGTTCCCAGTCCGGTTACGTCTAGATCCTCTAGAGTATTGCTTTCTGAACCATGAAGTACCTCTACTTGGAGAAGGATCGTCTTCTTCAGAATCATTCCTCCAGTTCTGGAATGACAGAAAAATAAATTACTGGAACTCACAAAACTCAAATGTCCATATATTTAATAAGACTTGCAAAAATCAACTATGCAACTTCCCAGTGTGTTGAAACTTCATAAACCAAGTAACTCATGATAATCAGACATAAACCTTGAAGACAAACAAGAGCTATGACATTACAAAATAACCCCACAAGTAGAGATGTTTCCCTGTTATGATTTTTATGGGAATAAAACTAAATGAAAGTTTAGTGCATCAAGAATAATAAATTTTACAGGCTATGCTCAAACGGAAGGACCAGTCTAAGTAAGTGTAAACAAAAAGAAAAAATGCAACTGCTGTGATGGCCTCCAAATCAAATTCTTGAAATTTGTTGGCTATTTAACTTTCAAAAAGAAAAAAAGATTCCAATTCAAAGTCTGGTCTTGGTAAGCAGCTAAAAAATTGCTGTTACACCGTTATTCATAAGCCAATCACGCTTATAATGATCAGACAGCAATTTTTACAAATAAAAGGTTAAAAGAAGGCCTACAACAGTCCCAACTTAAGAAAACTAAGAATCAAATGCTAGGATATTTCAAAGATCAGGTTAACATACATGTTATACTGTGTCGTCCTTTCCTTTTCCTTTCCTAGATTGATAAGATTCAAATGTAAGACACAAAATACCAATTATTTTCAAACTAGGATAAAGCGGGAGGTTCGAACATGTACACCCTTAAATACCAGTGATGTTCATTTAAGGTGTGACCATAGCGGAAAATTGGATCACCAGTTTGTGCAACCAAAATTAATCTACAGTTGCCATACTTCTTACATCAACTGATTTCTTCAAAATTGAAATTGCAACGTGAATATTATAAACTTACATGGTAAGATATAAGTCTTCCTTTGCTTCATAAACTAAGAGTACCAGAATTTCAATTGCAAAAGTTTAACGATCATGCCACTGCCCTAATGTACTTTACACTATAACATGCTAATAGGGGATGAATGCTTGGACTAAGAAGAAAGCAACCACTAGCATTTAACAATTTTGTAAGTGAGCAAACAATACCAATTAAAATTTGAGTAGATGGAAAAAATATCAATATTTCGACACAATTATATGTATATATATAGAAAGTATGCAAGACAATTATATGTATATATATACAAAGTATGTAAAAGCTATTAATGTCATGAATGCAAACCTCGAAAAAGTAGTCTGTGTAAACACCGATGTTCCGCAATAATGCCTGCTTCCTCTGCCACTTAGATGACCTACGTGGATGACCATTAGGTCTCTACAAGCAAACAATTTCAATCAGCAAGACTACTTCTATTTTAACTCCTATGAAAAGAGGGAAATTATGAATTTAAGCAAGAAAAATAATGATGACAATGAAATATAGATTAGAATTTTAGTGTTTTCGTTTTTTCAGAAACTTGACTTAGTCTTGTTGCCTACCTAACTTCAGTGTACTTATCATTAACATGTTTTCTCTCACCCCCTTGTATCAACTAAGTTTCACTTATTTATGCGTTCATTGCAATCATTGCAGACAAAGAAAATGTTTCAGAATCAGAAAAGCACTAGTGTAACCTTATTGTCCATGTTAAACCATCATTCAATTTATCTTAATAGACTTAATACTAGTTGCATACCCGAACATAATTTACAAAGCTCTACCAGAAACTAACATCTATACACATTCCAGGACACATTAAAGAAAGAAAGAAAAAGAGAACCATTAGCTCCTCTCAACTAGATACCAATTTGGCAAATAGGAATGTATGTAACCATTTCAATCTCTAACTAGAAATTATAAATTTTTCCCTTGCACAATAGATCAAACAATTTGAACAAACAACACATTTTAAATAAGAAATGAAATAAAGGAACAAAGTAACTGATCCATCCAGTTTTCTAATAAAGATTAAACATTTACAATATGAATCCATTCGGTTAATATTATCGAATGAAGCAAAATTGATTTCTACATTATATCATTTAGGAACTCCTGGAAAAGAAGCATCCTCTTTTGTCAACTTCAAAAGCATAAACAAGGGCAAATTAACAAGCAGTTAATTAATTGATTTTATATATATACATTTATATCATTTAGGAACTCCTGGAATGAAAAGAAGCATCCTTCTTTTGTAACAAACTGTGAGCGAAAAAAGCATAACACGAGAGGGGAAAATAAGCAAAGCAGTGAGTAATTGATTTTATATATATATATTAATATATATAATAATTATTATATAGAGAGAGAGAGAGAGAGAGAGGATATATAGAGAGAGAGAGAGAGAGAGAGGGAAGAGACCAACAGCATCCCAAAAATTGCCTCTTTTGCGTTCGAGGACAGGAGTAGAATGAAAAAGAGCAGCCCGCAACTGAAAACAATTGCTTTGAGGCATAAAAAACGCTGCTTTTGAACCGCTATTCATCATCTGTGCAATTCAAATTCAAAGAGAAGCGAAAGAGAATATATTTTGAGTCTCTGCGATCTCGAAGAACGGCCAAGGTGACATTGGCGAGTCCACTCAACAACTCGCTCGTTCATACATTTTGGGACGGTAGGGTTTTTTTGGGGAAAGAAAAAAAAATTTGAAGATGAAGGTTAAATTTAAAAGACCCATGCAAAATTGTTTTTATTATTAACCGTCAGTAAAAAGGTAAGTTTTGGCATGTTGACCTCGAGGGATGAAAACTAGTGGTGTGCAAGCCGGCAGAATTCAACCATAAAAATTGAAATCAGCTTTTAGTTGAAACGGAACTGTATCGCAGTAAATTAAAAAACCAAACTGAATTGATTGGTTTAATTTGATTCAGATCGATCTAATTTTATTTAAAAAATAATTATTTTTCAATAATTATTTTTTTATTAATGGGAGTTTTAGGTATCGTTTTATATGGTTCTAATAAAGATCCAAAATTAAATAACGGAATAAAAAAATAAAAAATTTTCATTTTTGATTTTATTTTTTGTTTTTTCCAAAGAATTAACACATCAATGCCCACGTTAAAAAAATTTTCTCTCAATCATCCATGTCGAGGTACTTTATCTTTATATAGAGAGAGAGAGAGAGAGAGAGGGAAGAGACCAACAGCATCCCAAAAATTGCCTCTTTTGCGTTCGAGGACAGGAGTAGAATGAAAAAGAGCAGCCCGCAACTGAAAACAATTGCTTTGAGGCATAAAAAACGCTGCTTTTGAACCGCTATTCATCATCTGTGCAATTCAAATTCAAAGAGAAGCGAAAGAGAATATATTTTGAGTCTCTGCGATCTCGAAGAACGGCCAAGGTGACATTGGCGAGTCCACTCAACAACTCGCTCGTTCATACATTTTGGGACGGTAGGGTTTTTTTGGGGAAAGAAAAAAAAATTTGAAGATGAAGGTTAAATTTAAAAGACCCATGCAAAATTGTTTTTATTATTAACCGTCAGTAAAAAGGTAAGTTTTGGCATGTTGACCTCGAGGGATGAAAACTAGTGGTGTGCAAGCCGGCAGAATTCAACCATAAAAATTGAAATCAGCTTTTAGTTGAAACGGAACTGTATCGCAGTAAATTAAAAAACCAAACTGAATTGATTGGTTTAATTTGATTCAGATCGATCTAATTTTATTTAAAAAATAATTATTTTTCAATAATTATTTTTTTATTAATGGGAGTTTTAGGTATCGTTTTATATGGTTCTAATAAAGATCCAAAATTAAATAACGGAATAAAAAAATAAAAAATTTTCATTTTTGATTTTATTTTTTGTTTTTTCCAAAGAATTAACACATCAATGCCCACGTTAAAAAAATTTTCTCTCAATCATCCATGTCGAGGTACTTTATCTTCCTATTAATTTCCTATACCTATTCACCTTTCTATTTATTACTTTCTTTTTTTTAAAATTTTCGGTTCTTCACAACTATATTTGACATTTTCTTTTAAGCAGGATGTAATTTGTGTTTAAAAAATGTTTATATAAAAAATTCAATTATATTCTCAAATAATCAAAAGTTTCAAAATTTATTTCAATAAGAAAATTATATTTCTGTTCCATTTTTAAAACAAACACATAAAAGTTACAATGATCATCACCATTACCATTACTTTTATTAAATTAATTTTTGTTGAAAAACAGAAGTATGATGTGAAGTCTTTGTACCATTATTTTTTTTTTTTTTTTTGAAAAAAAAAAAAAGGAGAACCGAATATGGATATATCGTGAGGTCATATATGCATTTACCGCTAGATAATATCTTGATGTGCAAGTCTTCCTGCCATTATTAGGATTAAAATAGTGATTAAATGATATTTTTATATCACTTATGCATTATGCATCCATTAATATGTATAACTAAGTCAACATTTAAACTGATTTAATATTACTACGTACGTTTCAAAAAGATAATCCATCTTTTTCTTTTTGATTTGTCTCAAAATATAGTCAAATTTTTCTTTTTTTTTTTTTACATTATAGTTAATCCTTAAATTGTCTAATATATCTTTATTAAATTTTATCTTATTTTTAATAAATCTCATTAATTTTTACTTATTATTTCAATATAATAATTGCTAATGTGTTATTTAAGATGGATATAATAGAAAAGTTATATGAATAAAATTATCCTTTAACTATAATAATAGTTATTTCTTAATCTGTGTGAAAATAGAAATTGAACTATTTTTTTGAGATGGAGAGAGTATAACAGTGAAATCTAAGTTTAAAGGTAAAACAAACAATTTAACGTGTTTTAATAAATTTCTTAATAAAGGGAACATAAAGAAATAAAAAAGGAAGAAGATAACCATCTTGATCCTTTTGGAAGTAACAAAAAAAAATTGTGAATATTTTTAGGGAAATTGTAATATCAACGTACTCCATCCCGTAAACTAATTAATGATAAATTCACAAGTCTACGTGGTAAATTACATTCATTTAATTAAAATTTTCTCTTTTTTTTTTTTAAGAATTCCTTTATCAATGCTTAAAATTATTATCTATTTTTAAGAGGTGAAATTATTTTTTTAAATAATAGAAAATCAAATTGATCAAAATAATATTAAGGGTTGTATATTATATATGAGGGTAGACCTCTCGTATTGATTAATCAAATTAGTGAAAATTCACATACTCAAATTCCTTCTAAAAAAAATCCAACTTTTTTACAAAATTTAAACAAACATTTTATTATTATTATTATTCATCAAACATCAAAATCACCTCAGAAACTATAAATTATGAATTCAAATTCCTTTAAAAACTTAATTTAATTATTAGGAAACTATAAAATCTTTATTCTCATTTCTATTGGTATAATTAGAACAAGATATCTTTAAATGGAAATCTCAAATCTTTTATCATCAAGATGTTACTTATTATTTGTTTGATTTGAAATAATTATGCAAGTTCTTCAATCTACCAAATATATAAATTGACATAATTGCATAGTGCCCCAATGATTATCACAAGACTTGAAGAACACGAGGCTTAGGATTTGAAGTTCCTAAGCATCAAACACACCAGAAAAGGCATTTCATTGTACAAGAAAACCCACTTGTTTTATCAAACCCACATGCATAAAGGGATTGTCTTGGCCTCAACTTTCAACTGAAAAGTTTCTCTCTTCCTCGCAATATAGAGCTGGATCACTACTATGACCAACCTCTCATCAGAAAAAAGTCGTGTTGACATGTCTTGCAATCATAACCTTTGATTTTAAAGTTCGTAGATTATTCCTATTCACATGCCTAATTAAAGATCGTTTAGAGTAATTAGCATCTCATTTGTTCATTTAATGATGTTTGTTCTATGTTAATCATCATTCAAGTTAAAATATTTTCTTGTTGTTTTCTCACTTATAACAATGTTTTGGATACTCAACCAACCAACCAATAAGGATTTGGGCAAAAATAAAAAGATTGGAATAGTCATAGTTGATGATTAAGGTTTTAACTTAATTATATCTAAAAAAAATTTATTACTAAAGTCAGAGTTTTGAGATGGAGTCGGTCACCGTTAATATTATTTTTTAAATATTACCTAGATCCGAGCATTGAAATAAGTATACAAAAATGAAAAAATAGATTATTACTAATATGAGTTAAGAAAAACGTAGCCTTACATATATGCCTTATTTACTTGTTAGCTTAGAATTAAGCACATAACTTATAAAAACTTTAACCTTAACTTTAACTTATTTATAAATATTAACGAAGTAAAATTTGTTTGTTTTAGCGAACTTATAAGTTACTTATCATAATTTACAAGCTAGCTTTTTTTTTTTTTTTTTTTTTTTTTTTTTTTTTTTTTAATGCAAAAAAGCATCATTTTGAACTAATTCAATATGCCACTTAATTTATTGGATCAAACGATAAAATTGCCATTATAATTATAAAATGTCACTATATATTATTTCTTAATCATTCAGTGATCAGCTCTTAATGTTACTTTTTTTTTTTTTTTTGACGGTAACTTTTTAATTATTCACTTATATAAGTTATTGGTTCAAAATCAACATTACCAAAGACTCTCTAATGTAGCATATATCTTAATCTCGCATATTTTGAGTTTACAGTTTTCTATATTTAAAAATTACAAGCTAAATTCTATGAAGTTTTGCACTCTTAATTGCCTTGGTTTTTTCAATTATTCATGATGTATTTAGGCTCGTATATATTTAATGGTCTATTAAATTTGATTAATTAATCCTTGCTCGCGCTTGGTCATCTTACTAAAAGATAAAGCGCTCTCACGAACATCTTCTTTGTATACATGAAAATCTAACTATCTAACCTTCTTTTTCCTTACATTTTGGATAGATAATGATCAAAGTATGAGTTTTTCTATTTAGTTTAATCATATCAAAATATATAAGTTTTCAACGATACATCTCAATAGATTCAATTTTGTGTAGAACGAGAGTAAGTGGGTGAAAAAATTAGTACTTCCATTGCCAGTTATTAGGAACTCATTTTAATTTCAAAGTCTTAAAAAAATATAATTTTATAAAATATAATTAAAAGTATAATATTTTAAATGAATTTAAATTTATACCAAGTATAATCAACAAAAGATCATTAATTAATTGAAGGGCAATAATGAAAATGTAGACATAGAAATTGGCTTTGTCAATATAATAATCCTACTTTTAAGGCTTATTATTAGTAGAATCGAGAAGGTGATTTTCCCCCCTTTAAAACCCATTAAAGGAAAATTACAAAGTGGTCAACCATTAAACTCGCCAGACCACGTCTTGCGCGCTCTTTTTGGGTAGTTATGCATCTCACGTTACTAAGCTCCGTAGGCGGGAAAATATCGACCGTGGGATGTTTGACTGATTACTTGGTCAACACAGGCTCGATTTTAAGTGGAGAAAATGAAGGTGTAACATCCAGTTGTAATAGAACTGAGAGCACCTGAACGAACAAGCAGACATGTCCTCCAGACAGTTGGAAACTGAATGCTGAGTTAGCAATTGGGACCCATTTTCCATTATCCTATGAATAATACTCCACCCGACCCAGCAAAAAATAATAATAATAATAATAAATAAATAAAGTGATTAAGAGGTTTCTAAATTAGAAATTTTGCTTTTTTTATAGTGGCTCTTTGTAGGACAAACTTATCCCTTATTTTATTTTCTTTGACAATTATATCCTGATGAGAGGGTATTTTAAATGAGCAAGGGTACTTTTGGAACTTAAATTAAAACAACTCCACTTCCATCCTTGCATTTTACTATAAAATATAAAATTCTTCCATTTAATTGTGAAAACTATATCTTTAAATATATATAATAATATTTAATATAATTACTGACAATAAAATCGATGGAAGGACATAATAAATAAATAAATAAATAATAAGAAATTGCCAATGGTGTAGCAATGGAATTATTATGTACATGATTTTCAAATGTTTTACAATTTAATTTTCCTTAAATTTTATTTAAATTTATATATATATTTAAAATTATATATATATTAATACCTATATATATATATATATTTATCTCTGCAAAATTTCTTATATATATTTATCTCTTAAAATTTAAAATCTAATTAAATTATTTTTCTTGATTGCTATTGTTTTAAGTTAATTTGGGCCCTTCACTAATAGTTTTTTAAGGGGAATGTGAATTAGAAATTTTTGTTCTTCCTTGGAAAATTTGGACACATTAAGTTATTGGAAAATGGCCATATTTCTGAAAATGCCCTTGAGTGGATAGAGGAGATTAGATAGGCCAATTAGGGAAATGAGCGAGGGTACAGATGTCCTTAGAAATCAAGCAACCGAAAGCGAGCCAGCTGTTTAGCAGTACGGGAGTGACGCCTCATGGGGTCCGTAGATCAGATATTCTAGACCGACGGCCACGATCACTCAACAGCGAATTTGAGGTTCATTTAAGTAGAATTTCATTTGAAGCCAATTTCATTTCACTCAGACTTTCCTTCTCTTTTTTAAAACAAGAGTGCGGGTTTCTTATTCGTAACACCCAGCCAAAGCCAGCATTTGTTACACAAACGCAGAAACCAGAAGACCGAACAGAAAGAATTCAAAATTCTCAGTATTTTTTTAAAGGTAATTTCTTTTTATCAATTCCATCGATTTCAAACTGCTCGAGAATTTCACTTCTCTGCATTATCTTATAGTTCTTATTTCTCATTCAATATTAGTTGGAATTTTTGGATTACCCATTCAATTTTCTGTGTTAAAGTCAGTGGATGCAAATGCTGGCATTGTTATAACGATTATCTGATTTCAGTTCAAAATCTGTTGGTTTTTAAACTAGCATTGATTCATTTTTGCATTAAAAAAAATTTCATTCAAAATATATTGGTTTTTAGAGATTTTATGATATATATACACATATATCTTTTAGAGTTCAATTTGATCATATGTTTGTATTAAATATTGATCATGATCTCTTTGGATCTTGTAATGTTGAAATCACGATGTAATGCAGGTTATGCTAACTGAATCTGCATATTTACATTATCTATTTTGGGTTGGAGATTTGAGTGTTGGGAATCAGAAATAAGCTGTTAATGGGATTTGCCAATATGTTATTCAATGTATCAGATTGTTTTGATGTCCTCAATGGAATTGGACCATAGGTGTTAAGGATAGGGTTGTGAGTGTTTTTATAGTAAGTTGGCATTTTTATGGCAGGCTTAAGAAAATGGCAGAAGGTGAGGATATTCAGCCCCTCGTATGCGACAATGGTACTGGAATGGTCAAGGTATAGCTAGAATCCTCTAACAATCCATATCTGATTTCAAAAATTTTAGTATAAGTTTTGAAGATTTTATTGAAGTAATCTCTGTTGTGTTTGGTAAATTAAATTTTTTAGGCTGGCTTTGCTGGAGATGATGCTCCAAGGGCTGTATTTCCTAGCATTGTTGGTCGCCCTCGTCACACAGGTGTGATGGTTGGTATGGGCCAAAAAGATGCCTATGTTGGTGATGAGGCTCAATCAAAGAGAGGTATTTTGACTTTGAAATACCCAATTGAACATGGTATTGTTAACAACTGGGATGATATGGAGAAAATTTGGCATCATACGTTTTACAATGAACTTCGTGTGGCTCCTGAAGAGCATCCAGTTCTCCTCACTGAAGCTCCTCTCAATCCTAAGGCTAATCGTGAGAAAATGACTCAGATTATGTTCGAGACCTTTAATACTCCTGCAATGTATGTTGCTATCCAGGCTGTCCTTTCCCTTTATGCCAGCGGTCGTACCACTGGTGAGTGATAGATTCCATTAAAATATGTTATTGAATATTAATTTTTTTAAAAAAGGAATTATATACATCTGATACTTAGAGATCAATTTTTTATCTTATTTTTGATTTAGGAAATGAAAATGTTTTAATTCATGATTAACAGTTAGTAACCATCTTTTCTGTTGATTGAAAAATAGACAAAACTCAGAAAGAAAATATATGTAAATACTATACAAAAAAGGGAATATTCTGGGGAATTTTTCAAACTGTCTGCTTTTTTATCATCTAAGTTGTTATCCAATCTGTTTTAACAAATTAGTGGCAGTTTCACGTGACTAACAAGTAACAAACAACTGATTTAAATTGATTGTAATTGGTTTTTTGAATTTTATATGATATCTCTCTTGGGGTCTCTTTAGTCTTCATTAAAGTGAAACAAGTGCCTCTCATAAAACTTAATATTGTAGCATGCGGGCTCTTTTGATGATAGAGATAAATTGTGATGAATTAATGTTTTTATGACCTGTTTGCTATGGCTAGGTATTGTTCTGGACTCTGGAGATGGTGTGAGCCATACAGTTCCCATCTACGAGGGGTATGCCCTCCCACATGCCATCCTGCGTCTTGATCTGGCAGGCCGTGATCTCACCGATGCCCTCATGAAAATCTTGACTGAGCGTGGTTACTCTTTCACCACCACTGCAGAGCGGGAAATTGTGAGAGACATGAAGGAGAAACTAGCTTACATTGCTCTTGACTTTGAACAAGAACTAGAGATGGCAAAGACCAGCTCAGCTGTTGAGAAGAGCTATGAACTGCCAGATGGGCAGGTTATTACCATTGGAGCTGAGCGATTCCGCTGTCCAGAAGTCCTCTTCCAACCATCCATGATAGGGATGGAAGCTGCTGGCATTCATGAAACCACTTATAACTCTATCATGAAGTGCGACGTGGATATTAGGAAGGATCTCTATGGCAATATTGTGCTTAGTGGTGGCTCTACTATGTTCCCAGGCATTGCTGATAGAATGAGCAAGGAGATTACAGCATTAGCTCCCAGCAGCATGAAGATTAAGGTGGTGGCACCACCAGAAAGGAAGTACAGTGTCTGGATAGGAGGCTCCATTTTGGCTTCCCTCAGCACCTTCCAGCAGGTATTATTCACATTTGGGCTGCAAACAGAATTGAATTACAAACTTGGCTCTTATTCGTATTGATCAATTTACTGTTATGTTAAAATTGAATGGTAATAGCCGGTATGCTTTATTACGCTTGAGAACAATAGGAGATATTTCTGCATTCACCTATTACATTTCTATGCATATAATGCTTTATGTAATTTTTTTTGTCAAAATTTAAGAGTATGATTGAAAGCAATGCTGAAATGCAAAGCAAGGGTCATGAGGTAATTTAGGGTTATGAAGGCTGATCATGACTTTCTGATCTGATTGGAGAAATTTCCACTCTGTTGTTTTGAGTGCAGATGTGGATTGCAAAGGCTGAGTATGATGAATCTGGGCCATCAATTGTCCACAGGAAGTGCTTCTAATAATGCTAAGCTAAAGGCTAATGGGGAAACACATACTACACAATTTTTTGGTTGCAAAAGGCTTCTAATCAAGTGGTTGCAAAAATTTTCTTCTCTATTTTATTCTCATCTTTTTGTTGTGTTTTTGCTCTGTTTATGTCTGGATCAAATTTAAGATTCAATTTTTTTATGAAAAAAAAATTTGTCATTTGATTGTAGAAGAGTTGTTTATTGATTAATTGATTTGGTTTGGGTTAATTTCAGCAGGGATTCATTGTTTCTTAAAGAGTTATCCAATTAAATAAAACCAGTAATTATATTCATTTCATTGCAACTCAATTCTACTCTTTTGCGTAATACTAAATGTATGAGAAATTCATTTCTTTTGTGTATACATTAAGTTTTATTTTTATCTTTTTGTCGGGTTTCGATGGATGCAATACAAATGCAACTAAGGAAATCACTTGAACTTGAAATACACGTTCATACTGTCCAGGTTTATCTCCTAAATCTATCTCCTAGGCTAAAGAGTATATATATATTGTGCACCGGATGTTTAAATCATGCGATAACGCGACGACGCGCCGCAAACATCCCATCTGAGCGTATTATGAAACGTCGCGACTCCAGAGCTCCAAACATGCGACAATCGCTTTCTCAGATTGAATGCTAAGCCTAAAGGCTTAATGGGAAACACAGTACTACACAAAATTTTATTGGTGGCAGAAAGAGTGCGGATGAGTCAACGATGAGGTTATGGCAAAAGACTCTCAGTATTATATGATGCATTCCTCCAAGTCTTTTTCTCGTTGTCGTTGCTCTTCTTGCATCCCAAATTCAAGATCATCCAATATTTACTGAAAAAACAACTTTGCTATCCATCTGATTGCGTAGAACGAGTTATATTCTATGATGTTCCAGCCAGAGTTGATTTCTTACAGGAGGGTATCCCCATTTAACATAGCAAATCGTGAGTATATTGTACTGGTGAATACTTCATCTTCATCGCTTATATCCCACTCCCATTTTGCCTCACCCCTCAAATATCGCATTACACTGTATGGACGCAAACTCACTTTTGTGGTGATACTATCACAAGTCTTATACTTATTTATTGTGGTCTATCCGAGCAACTCGACTCACTACACCACTCGCCAAAGACTAAGCAAACCATACTTGTATTCACTGCAAAATACCGACTGCGTCGCCTGTCCAGGCGTTCCACCCTTCCCTAAATCTCAATTCTCCCTAGGCTAAAGAGGTTATACTATAACCCATTTACTAGCTACAACCAGTAGGTATAACTGATTCGTAAGTTAGTATGTATAAGTGTCTAGTACACTAACAAAGGCATCATCATATACTCTTAAGCTCGCCTAAACCACATTCAGGCCCGCACATTTGACCACTATATCAGCGCAAAATGTTCTTTCAAAAGCTTATTGAAACGCTACCTCCCCAGGTCCAGGACAATTCACTCTGCTAAATACTATGAATATATTAAATTATATTATTAGCGTTGAAGTTTTGGATACAAATCATATATCCAGTAGTTACTTTGCGTCTTTTCAAATTATTGACATCTTTTTCTTTCACATACATCGAGACTTTGATAAATATTCGTCTGGATGGGGAACTAATATTGTGAATTTCAGCATAACCGTGTTACTAACCACTCTCTAATTTGTTTGATCTGCTTCTCTTCACAAGGAAATAATTTATTTATCCATCCTATTGCCCTATTGTATCAATTAACTATTATCTAAGAAAGTAATTTTAAATATTGATTACTACCTAAATTTCATAATTGAAACAATTTCTATGAACTAATTTTACACTATTTTTTCATATTTGAGTTTAAAACATATTTCCTCTTATAAAATAAATACCAAATTCTCTCAATCCGTTCATAAACACGCGCGAATCTCATGCATTTAATGATTTTAGTTGAGTTGAAATACAATGGATCTTATATTGTTTATTGGTAGTTACGTATTGAAGAACAAAAAATCCATCTCAATGACAGCCCATACTGCTTCAACGCTTTTGCGTTTTATCCAACGCTATTTTTACATAAAACTCGAGGTCTTTAAAATTTGCATTTTCTTGGATCCCATGTATGCCCCAGTGAGGCTCCTATACCTTTACGTACACACCCCTTACCTCCGTTCGGACACATACTGAGATTTAACTTCATTAGGCTTCTGAATTATCTACAATTGCCGCCCCGCGGGGGTCCAGTCTAACTCTGTATATAGGTTTCTGACTATGCTGCCCTATCCGGATCTCGCACTACCCTCCTGCCTGAGTTGACAAATCAAATACATTCTTATCCGGCTATTAAACGCTATACCCGCGGCGCCGACGCTGGTTGATATCAATAATACTAGCCAAATCGGGCTAAGCTCAATCCACAATACTATAATGGCCTACCACCGGTAACACTGACGCGACCATGCTATACAGCCCATATCCGTCTCGCATTGTCTACCCTGTGAAACAGAAAACGAACAAAGAAATGCAAGCACTACTACCCAGAATAGGAAATCCTGAAGTAGAGCACAAAACCCAGGCTGTCAACCTATACGATCAGGCTCACATTGAGCAAGCAAGCGGTTTAAAAGTGCTTAAAAACTGGGAAATTTCACCATCACCCGAACGTCGCTTTAAAATCACCTCCTGAATACCTATCATTCTGATCATTATTGGTGTTACACCAGAATTACCCATTTACAATAAGCACACCTAACTATGCTCTTCCCACTCTTTTTTATTCTCCTCTCCCACAAGTTAATACCCTAAAACTTTATACTTTAATACTTTCACAACTCTAGGGTCCCCCACACCTCCTTATACTTTCTCATTTCACATTGAGTCTAAAATCTTTAAAATGAAGTAATATAAATATCAAATATAAAAGATCCCCAAATAATCTCATTAGATACTAACATACTTTCCAACTGTATCGATTGACAATAATCCCATTCACTAAGCCCTCTACCCACCCACTCTGCGACTCTAATGTAGCTACATACGATCATCACAAACCACGATGGCCGCCCACGCCCGAACCACCTATCTGTACTGCATCGGGTGACGGCGTCCAACAAACAAAACACCAAGTGAAGAACCCCCAAACCGATTCCAGGTGAGATCGTTCCATCCGGCTGGTCACACACAGGCAACACCGATTACACCTCACTACGCATATATCGCACACCCCGATGCTTGCTCATTCTTACACACTGACCAACACACCCCCTCGTCACAGCTGGCCCCCTCCATAAAGAAAAGCGTAGCATCAAAACCACCCTGCGCAACATCGATCCTCTGCGATCAGATTTTTTTTGGCGTGGGACGGCCAGTGCTCTAGTCCCTGGTCTTACGGCCGAGCCACAAAATACCCTTGTATTCTCGACACGGCCCGCGAGCCTTCCGAAACTACTGCAAATCACGGGTAAACCACCGGATTTTGCTTTTCGATTCAAAGACTCGGGTCCGAGGAAAATGTGTCACAAGTGGTCGTGTGAGGTTACCAGCTTATCCACAATTCTTTACATTCTCAGACTTTTGGTAAATTAGTTCCTTTTGGAAACCTCCCTTTTATGGCTAAAATGTCGCCAAATAAGGTGGCTAAAATGGCGTTTTTCGAGTGCAGCTTAATGCTTTGATTTTCCTATTTAAAAGGGACAAAACAGGCGATTCTTAGTTGCGAAAAGCGGCTAATAACCCAAATAGGAGGGGGCTTAGCAACTGTTATTTGAACACTTTCTCTCCTGTGCTATTTAAATCGAAACTTACTGTTAGAGTCCTTTTATGTGCTTTTAATTCCTGCCGTTAATAATTAGTGCATCTCCGATCATTTAAAAGCAAAGTTTGAAATAGCCCCTTCTTGCCCCATTGCGGGAATTTAGTTGAGGAGTGTGGTAGTATGATCTACCAACCTTCAAAGGTTTCTTTGGGTCTGTCCCCAGTCCCCCTCCAAATCATGGTTTCTTGCAATGTTATTTGAAAGGTCTCCCTTTATTGGTTAAAACAGTTGCAGCCAGACCAGTAGGGTTTTTTCCCAAAAGCCTACTCCCAAGGTTCGTTTAACCGCCAAACCATGATTAATAAGCAATCTATGTGTGTAGATTATTCCTTATTCACATAGAAAACCAACCTGCTTCTCTCTTCTACTTGTTTATGTTGGAATGATTATATCCCCCTTGACTGACTGAGCTTATGCTAACAAGAAATTTTTTTTTAAAGAGGGTTAAGCCAAATTCATTGCGAATAGGGTTTGTTTAAAATCCCAACAAACCCCTGTTGCCAGGTATGAAAGTCCCCTTTCTTGGATTTAAAATAGCCCCCGGGTCTATGTTGGTATATCCCATGTTGTTAAGAAGAAAAAAATTGCCCATTTGAGAAGTTATCTTAAAGATACTGAGGCTTATGGCCCGAGAATTTTCAAAACCTGATTGCCCCACTCTAAATGGTTAGGAGACCATTTGAACAAACTCACAGGCCACTCTGTTTCTTTTATTTAAAATCTGCAATCCATCCTCCTAAACCCCCTGATTTTAAGTCAAAATTTGCCCTCTACTTAAACTAACTATACATCCTCCTTCTTTATTATATTTTCTTTATGGTCCAATTTCAACAACCAGGTAGTTCCTTTGCTCTCCCACCCTCAACCTTGATCCACTCCCCACGGCTTTGCCATAGCCAATGTAGATATTAATTTAAAAAACAAGCCAAGAAATATTACAACTTTTCAATCATCGTTAATGGCTTTTAGCGATTCATAATGAGCTGGGTTTCTGTGTCTGGATCCTCGCAAGATCAATAAATTGGATTTAGTGGGGTTTTTATCTTGGTAATTGTCCTTTAATTAAAAGTTGGGAAAGTACAAGAAAACTAACACTACCAGTTCCTCTAGATTTTTTTGACCGGCAGGAGTATTAGGAGAACAAATTTTGGAAATTACAGGAGACCTGAGGCTCGCTGTCCATGAGTTACAGTTGGGGCCCCCCTCAAAATTTCTTCTTCCAGGATTTTAACATAATATCCCACACCCTCGTACAAGCCTAAATCTTTATTGATGGATAAAAACCAGTCATTCATTCATGATAAAAACTGGGAGAATTCCTATCTCTCCTTCCCACCCCCACCAACCACCTCTCTCTACCCCACATCCTGCCGGAATAACACCCACCCCCCCGAACTCCGAAGCGTGCGATCTCCGTACTTGCCGTATCCGGTTCGAGAAAACATTTCAAAAACTTGGTTTTTCACCTTAAAGCTAGTCTGGGGCCATCTTCTTACAACCTGCTCGACTTGTCCTGAATTATGTTACCACAAATGCCTTCAAGCCTGCATCCAGGCCTTCTGATAAGTCTTTTGTTGTACCAAGTTGGGAATGGGAAAAAACCATTCATTTCGCCCAGCCTTGGATGGGGTGGGCGGGCGGGGGGTGGAATTGAAATTCAATTGTAAAATTTAAAATTTCATATTTATATATTGCTGAACTTCAGAGCAAATAATAAGGTAATTGAGCTAGCTAGACCTTCAAATTTTGTTAGCAGTAAAACTCAAGATTAAAGACTATTCTTTAGTTCTCTTTCCCTCAACTGATATAATAAGGATTGATATGGGTTGCCCACCAATTCGCAGGTGAACCAATTGCCAGCAAGAAGGTCCTGTATCTTGCAAACAGTCATTTCACTTTTCCAGCATTATACCACGTGGAGCCCTTTCGGGTGACCAAAATCCCAAAATTGGCTGGTTTTAAAAATTGTTGGTATTGGTGGCATTGTACGGTTCTAAATCCCTTCAATAGAAGATGTATACTTAGTAAAAAGGATTACATTCTATCAACTTGTTAAGGTGTAATTCAAATTTGTGAAGGAAAAATAGAAGAGTGATCTTTGGAACTCGTCATGTGAAGCTAGCTAAGAGAGAGTGCGTGAGTGATAACCAAAACTCTGTTGGGTCGGAAAAAGATTTTTCGCGGGAAGCATAGAACCTAGGCTAGATCTTAACTAATATTTACTTATTTAACCTAGATAATTTTTTTTTGACTATGCCTTTAGTTTTACTGGTTGATCAAATTCTTAGGTTGCTCTTATGACATAAGGAACGATTAGCGAAAATGTGGCCACAAGCATGCACACTATAAATAATTTCCTAAACTGTCAAAGAAAAAAGATTTAATCCTTCCGTCGGGTTTTGCCCAAAGTTTTGAAATTTGAAAAAGATGTTTCTATTTCATTCTTTATGCATTCTTGTCAATTGGCACAACAAACCGGAAACATCTTTCCAACTCTAATGCGCGGTATGGTTTCTACTTTTCTAGGACCTTCAGGAAATTGCATGCATTCTTGATTTGGTTTGCATCCCATAAAAACTCCTTCCCGTCTTATATAAGGGAAAATCAAATAATAGACACTTGTCACTTGTCTTAGGATGATTACCTCCCTAGAAATTCCACTTGCGATATTTCTTCCTTAGAAATAAGGGTATGAGTCAATACGACTTTAGTTGTTCATGATCTTGGTGGTTTCATTTATAAGGATTACAGACATGACAAAAGGAGGAACAAACATTTCACTGTGATTAGAAGTGACCATGGCGAAAAGAGAAAATTATAAAAAATTTCCAGGCAAATTCAAATATGCTTTTTGACCCAAAAGAAAATACACAAGAACCCTCTCTCCCATCAACCCTCTCCTCACCGCGCCCACGCCCCTAGAACCCACCCCCTTAACAAAACCCTCCGGCCCCCCCACCGCTCCAGCCTTAGCAACCACCGCCCCCCCCCCCCAAGACCTACGCGCCAACCACTCTCCACGCGGACAGGGAATGGCCCAAGGAACCCCAATGCTGGTCCAGTGATTTTAAGGTTTACCAAATAGTTACTTCTAGGCAAAAAAGCCCATTAACCATTGCTTCTCTATATTTCTAAAAGAGGGCTTGGGTAAGATTTAAAACCTTCTAACCCAAAAAGACTCATATAAAACCTATGAAACCCCAAGGGTTAGAAAAGGCCACAACTACTTGGTTACTTTTCTTCCCACATTTCTTGGCTGGCAAAACCTGCTATTTATTTCTTAGATTCAACCAAGAAAATCATCCCACCACCCTTCGGCCAAATTTGGGATGTAAATTCCTATGAAGGAATTTTTCTAGAGTATTCTTCCCAGATAATAGGTAAAAAAAATATAGGATGATTAAAATAACGCAAAACGTTCCTAGGGTTGCGCTAGAAGAGTCTTAATCCCATCGTGTTTTATTAGAAGTTTGGATTCTACCTTCCCTAGAACTTTAGGAAAATGGATCGGATTTCGTTGGTAGATTTTTTGATTTAAAGAGAAAGCCATTAAAAACGCAGTTCGCCCAGAAACAACACCCTAGAAAACAGCCCTTGAAAAATGAGCCCAGAAAATGATTGATAATCAGGCCCCACCAGCACAAGCTATGTAAATGAAAAGAAAACAAAAAACATAACTGAAATTCCCAAATACCCCAGAACCTAGAAACTTTGAGAATTTTCACCACTTACCCCAAAGAAGTTGGCAGGAATTCCACCCAGTATAACCTCCTCCCCAAACGGAGAGAAAATCCATTGACAAAACCACCTCTTAGAAAAGAGATGATGACCTAAGAATCCTCAAACTGAAAAAATATGTTTTTCGTAATGTTAGCTTCTTGGATTTACCTCAATTTTCAGAAACAACTCCCACACAATTTCTCTTAGAAGATGGCCTTAAAAGCTGGATCAACCCAATGTGGAAGACCTTTCTTTGCTGATTTGCACAAGGAAGAAACCAAATTAATGTTTGAGATGAAAGCCCCAAGGGTGTGGTTAACGAAGACTGTGTGTTCGTAGGAAGCATAAAAAACCATTCTATTATCTGCTACACCAAAATGAGGTGTTTAGAAATAAGACCGTTCCGCAGTCCCGAATCGGATGAAAGGTGTGTGTGGCAATAACAAAAGGCTAACGGGGTTAGGTGCGCGGCTCAAGGTTTACAAGCCCAAGAAGCGCAATATAGCATCGATTTGTGATAAAAACTTTGCCGTCCCGGTTCGTAGAGCTTGACAGAGGCGGCCCCGATGAGAAATGCGTTTGTGTCATTTCTGTGCTGGTACTTCTTTTTAAAAAACATTTCTCTAATTTGGGTATTAAATTGGAAATGGTTGAAAGTGATTTTTTCTAAATAGTTTTTTCCCAACATGGAAAGGGGAAAGTGTACATGTAAGAACAACTACCACTCCCCCCGGGTTTGGCAAAGCTTTATGAAAAGCCCCAAACATGTTTATATAAGCTTACTCAAACCCACTTTTGTGGTTTGAAACCAAAGGTTCCTTAGAGCTTTCGCTTTAAATAAAAAGATTAACTGACAGGGTGTTTTAATTTTAGAAAAAACTTGGGGGTTTTCTCAGAGGGAAAGACCGGATTACCTACACTTGATTACTGAAAAACCAAAGCACCCTGATAAATTCCTAGGTTTTTTGCCAATACTCCCTATGGGTTGAATGGAACATTAATCTTTTGCTTTATTAATGAACACTTTTTGTTAAAGGAATCTGGCGAGTGGAAAAATTCCTATCCCCTCCAACGAACTTTAATGCAGGGGCATGGAATTTGAAGGTCGGAGCGTAACTGATGACAGAGAATTAAAAATCTTCTTCCTTGGACCTTCAAATCAAAACATTTCCTGCTAACCAATGGAATCTGCAGTAAATCAAGGCAAGTACACTTCGTGAATATCTTGTGTTGGAAAAGGTTCCAAAAAGAAAATGAGAAGAAAAAATTCGCACACGTAGTTGCTAGTTACCCACAACTGAGCGGCATCCCCTCAAAAGTAGGAAAAAAAGATGAAAAACCTGGAAAGGATATGGATATTAGCGGTTATTTAGGAAGGGTTATAGGATTGCGTTCCTTACATATAAATTAACTATGCAAGCCAGACACTTTTGACCTTTTTCACCCTTTTTTATGTGTATATGTTTACTACTGCTAAAACATTCCACACCTTCCCACCCCGTCCCTAAAGAAATATCATTTTTAATCTACTTCTTGTACAAATAATGTGAGGGTTGTGATTGGAGATACCTCCTTGTGGAAACTTCTAATTCTGAGCACTGGGTACTTCGTTAAAGCATTGGATACAGTTTAATTATTGGTTTTATAGGCCCCTCTATTCCAGTGCGATCTCCCCGTGCATCCTCTCGCTTACGGAAGCCCACACGCAGCACTCCAGCACTAGCATAAGAGGCATGTCTGGAACCATTGGCCCCACCCCCCCCCCCCCTATTCTAGGTAATGCCCGGAATGAGGTGGCATCGGTGTAGGCAAAGAAATGCCAAGAACTTCCGTTGTTGGTCTTCCTCCCTCTATCTTTCCAGGAGAGTGCCAGAAATAACATTCGGCTGCTGGCAAATTGTGTTTTGCACAAAGTTCTGTATGAATCAAAGGCCAACAGATGTGTGGAAACCATGAACTAATGGTCAGTGAAACAGTTTGTAGAAAACAGTTAATCAGAAATTATGATCCAATAAATAAGCAGCGCGACTCCATTCATAATTCTAGACATATTAAATACACATGCATTCCATGAACCATAACTATACTACATAATCTAATTTGCCCATCCTTAACAATATATTCCACTGCTGGCATACACCTTACCATATATGGATATTCATGGAGACTCATGGATAATTGATTTAAGATGAAGCACCTCTTGATGCTCGAGCTGATATGTATATCAATAAGTAACCTGTATTATCCTCCATTTTGTAATAAAACGGTATGAGAAATATAATTATATATAATATAAAAAGTATTAATAAAAACGGACGCCCTTAGGTAATGAATCTCTTATCAATGGATTTCATCATTCAACCATATATTAGTGCGGATGTATAGTAGATGTATACGTATGTTTCACCATAATTGTTACTTTGATTGACTATACACTACAAAGCGTTATAATAGATATGCCAAAAAAATTTTGAGAACTCCTGCTTCCAAAAAAAAAAAAAAAAAAAAAGGCCCAAAATCCTTACAATTATTCATTAACATAAATTACAGAACATGATGACATGTTCACACATGTTCTTGATAAACTACAGGGTGATATGCCAAAACTTTTGAGACTCTGTTCCTCGGCTCGGAGCACAAGGAGGAACCAAATAATTCGAACTCGAACTTGAATACTTATGGTAAATTTGTCAGTGCCTGAAATGCCTGACGTTGGTAAAAAGCAATGAAACCCCATACTTGTTGCAGCAGTCTATGGCATCTTTATCCCTAATACTCCCACCAGGCTCTGCAATAGCACCAACCCCAGCCTCACATGCCTCTTCAACAGCATCATTCCAAGCTGTTTCATAAAACAAATTGTTTCAACATGTAAAAATCATAATAACAACACTGATGCTAAATCTCAGTTTAACTCTAGTTCACAGTAATATATCAAAATAATCAAATAAAAATGTTAGGCAATCTTTAAACCGTTGCTTGTGTGCCACTGGAAATCTGTTTAGGATCATTTAATTCATACACCATTGCTAAAGAAATTAAATTACAGTTACCAAATGGAAAGAAAGCATCGCTAGCCAAAGCAGCCCCTTTGACCTCTTCTCCTGCTTTCCTTAAAGCTATTCTCAAGCTCTCCAGACGGTTTGGCTGCCCACTTCCCATACCTAACATACAGTTATTCTGTCCAAAATGATGACAACGTTAAGAAATTCTTACCCATCATATGCCAAAAAGTAAGGAAATTTCTGCAATCTAAACATCAGAGAACTCTAACCTTGGCTATAACAATGGCATTGCTCTTGACATGCTTGACACAAAGCCATGCAAATTTTGCATCATCAAGTTCACTAGTTTGTGGGGTCTTCTCAGACACAACATTGAATTGGATATCTTGAGGGGTTAAGTCATCTGAATCTTGAGCTAACCACCCACCCCCAATTTGTCTTAGTGAAAGCTTTCCTTTCTCGTTCTTTTTTGCCTCAAGAATCCTCAGTGTCTTTGATTTGCCACGGAGGATCTCAAGCCCCTTTTTTGTATACTTGGGAGCAACCACAATCTCGTAAAACATCCGGGTTTCACCATCTGTTGGGCTTCTGAACTCTCTGATTTCCTTGGCAAGATCCTAACAGCAAAGTAAGTTGAAAATTCAGCATACATAAGATTCTCTGCACCATTCCAACCTTTACTGATGAACAAGGACTTTTTACTTTGACCCAAGTATTTTACTGGTCTGTCAGTACATGTTGCTCAGTGACAGTGATAGAACATTATTTTCATTGACAAAAATCACAAGCAGCAAAAATTGTTTGGTGAGATTTTGATTAAATTAATGACTTGACAATCCTGAGAAACTCATACCACTATATTATAACTCATTGATACTGATACAACATGATTTTCATTTACAAGAGTAACAGAAGAAGCAAAAATTGACTGGTGAGATTCCAATTCGATTAATGACTTGACAATTCTGAGAAACTCAAACCGCCAAGCCTGTCATATGAATTGTTAAACCTAAAAGCTTATAACCACAACTTTACCTCATCAACTTCTATGTTGAATGCAACTATACCGCCAAACGCACTCACTGGATCTGCTTTCACGGCCAGCCTGTACGCTTCAAGTATATCAGCACAAGAAGCTACACCACATGGGTTTGTGTGCTTCACAACTACACATGTGGGATTTCCAAACTCACACACACAATTCCAAGCTGCATCAGCATCTAAATAATTATTATATGACATCTCCTGCACCAAGGAAAACTCTGTAAGCCAAGTCAATTTGTTCCCATAAGCTTTCTCACATAAATCATCTAGGGAAGAAATATAACATGTGCTGAAAAATACAAAGAAATAACTCAAAGAGCTCTAATTTTGAATGTTATCAAAAGCCATATGGTTTTTGCCCAGGATTTCTCAAGGACTATTACAGCAGCAAGTTAAAATTGGGTCAAAGTTGATTGTTTGATGACAACGAAGAATCAAAAATAGAAAATGTAAAAAAAAAGATATGTGTCGACAATTCAACATGCTAAGACAACCATTAGCATAACTTATTTTTTTATATTTTTTTTCCTGCTCTTCTATTAAATTGAGGCAGAAAGCAATAAAACACTAAGAATAGAAAAAACAATTAAACATTAAGGACATGCCTTGTATGATGTATAATCAAATCAACTTGCAGTTACATTACTTTCAATTATAGCCCAAATAAAAAGGGAAGTTTCCTCCTAAGAGAAAGAAGAACAAGGAAAAAAAAAGTGAAGTGTCAAGATATTTATGCTGCATATCCGCTAGACAGAAACCATTATTCCATAAAGAAGCTAATCTAAAATTTATCCCAAAGCAACTGCGTTGGCAGACAATGCCCATAAATTACAGAAAATCTGTCTCTTTTGAGAAGAGATTGATAGGTAGGACAGATCCCACTAAATTTCATATCAAGGTCTGCATTCTGTTATTTTCTAGAAGCAGGAATTACTAAATAAAAGCATGTGTCACTATGTGCTTCCCTTTAGAAATGTCTGCCACCATCGATTCCCATATCCACATTGAGAGAGATTACCTTGTTTCATAAAATAATTGAATAACAATTTCTATCATCAAATCAATTTTTAAAGTTTATTTTTTATGCAACAAGAATACAAGATAATTCTTGTAAATTTTGTGGACATTTTAGCTAAACTTTTATGTGCTAAGTAAGAACGCATTTATATTTCTGACCTATTTCTGATTGTAAAGCTAGATTAGTCAAATTTGGATAACAACATTGGAGGTCCTAAAAGTTGACACATCTTTACAATCAAGTCCTAAAATTTATTTTTTACAATTCTTTTTTATTCTTAAAATTTCTAGCCATTAGTGCTACCCATTTGTTAACATCAAAGTTAATCTTTTTTTTTTTTTTTTTTTTTTTTTTTTTTTTTTTTTTTTTTTTTTTTCTTCCACAAAGTTCTAAACTTTTCACATTTTCGTTAATCAGATTTGGACCTTTCATGAGTGTTTTTTTTTTTTTTTTTTTTTTTTTTTTTTTTTTTTTTTTTTCTTCCACAAAGTTCTAAAACTTTTCACATTTTTCGTTAATACAGATTGGACTTTCATGAGTGTGAAAAAACAATAATAGGTTATATGTGAAATTATGCGTAGCTTTGCTTACAACTTAAGAAATTCCCACACTTAATGATGACATGTGTTTCAACAATAAATTCAAGGTTTGATTGTAAAGAATAAACACATCTGCTAAATAATAAAGCAGCCGCCAATAAAAAGCACAGAGAGAGAGAGAGAGAGAAGAGGTAAGTCAAAAAGAATATACTGCTTCTTCTATCATAACAATGTTAAGAATGATGCTTTTTAGGAAAACAAGAATATAGTGACGCAAACCACCAATCTCAAGAATCAACGAATGATTGTCATATAAACAATCATTTTCACTGCCTCACCTTTCCATGATGTTGAATAGCTGCTGCAATACCACCAGCATCAAACTCTGAAATACTCTTGTCATAATAAACTTGAGCCCTTTGATGAGGGTTTTCACCATAACGAAGAGAATCCTTAAGCTGGAGAGGCACTGTCAGGCTGGGAGAAAGTTTATCTTGTAGCATATAAAGAACATGTCAATATATATTCTAGTGAAGAATTGTAAATTACAACAAATAAATTTGCTACCTTTTTTTTATCATAGGAAAATTTGCATGAGTTCCATTTGTATCGATAGTTTTCAAACCTACTCAAGGGCAACGCTAAACTGTTTGCTCCTTCTTTTTTTCATTTTCTAAACATAATTCACTAATTCAGGAGAAATAATAATCTAGAAGATATCTTCAAGTTTTAAATTAAATTATCTCACTGCATATGATTGGCCATCAGTAATCGGAACAGCGTTGCATAAGGTGCGTGATTCAGTTGAAGATCAAAATGAGTACAATTAGTACCTCCTGCAGTCTGTTTCCATAGCCACTCAGAAACTGCAGAATCATAAGAAGCAACATGTTGGAAAGCTTTCCAGGCAAGTTTTCTTCGGAACTGTTGATCGTCCTGATTTCCTTTGAGAAATTCCAGAAGTTCAGGATAGTCTTGTGAATCAACAACAACCAAGACGTCTTTGTGATTCTGTTGAACATATATGGGTCAGCTGGAATCTGAAATAGTTAAAATGTCAAGTCTCCAAAATGCCTAGAATCCAAAAGTGTCTAAGTCTCAATCAGCTAATATGCAGTAAAAAGTAATTTCCAAGACACAAGAAAACTGTTTTAAGATACTCCTAAAGCCAATCTATCAATCACTAAGAGCTCGGTTTCCACGAGAGACTTGGTTATATTCCTCAACCCAGTTCGATCAACTTATTTGCCAAGACACTATCTAATACTATCGCCCGGACCACTGAACACTATTCACTTCTATATCAATTCTGCTTATGAGATTTGGTAGTATTTTTGTATGTTCACTTGGAGATTGCATCTCTGCAACTTCAGAGAGAATCCAACATGATGTTGAGTTTGTTTTTATCAATAATGGATCAACAATGATGTTTAGATCAACAACCTTTGCAGCTGCTCTGATCATAGTAGGGCCACCGATATCAATGTTCTCAATCCCATCTTCAAACCCGATTCCTCTAGTTGAGGTAACTTTATCGTAGAAGGGGTACAAATTGACCACTACTACATCAAATGTACCTGTAGAGGAAATGGTTTTTTAGCAGAAAAGAACAAGAAAAGTACCAAGGGCAAACACAACAAGACAACCACATCCATGCACACTGGCATAGTAGTGTACCAAAAGAGTAAAAGACAAGAATTTATAACTGTGGAGATACAAAGAATTTCACCACAAACTCACCAATTCCATGTTTATCAAGAGCTTCCATATGATGCTTTTGGTCCCTTCTAGCAAGAATACCACCATGGATGTTGGGATGTAAAGTTTTTACACGGCCATCAAGCTGTAACACAGTAACAAAAACATCATCAGGTGTAACAATAAAAATCATCCAAGAGAGAAATCTCAAAGAAACAGAGAGAATTCCAAAGGCTACCCTAGAAAATTTTGCAACAATATTTGAACACAAACTAACCAAAATTGCAGAATTCGCTTATTTGTAAAAAGCAAACTCACTTTTGGTCAAAAAGGTGAAATTTCCAACAACTTCAAAACAAGTAATTTGAAGAAGTTAATTTAACTCTTAAGGGGAAAAAAATGCAAACGACCAAATCTCACATTTAAAATCCATGATAGCTTGACAAATAAGCTGAGCATCCCATTCAGATTAAGTACATCTAGAATGATGTGCATATTTGTGTATGATCCCCAAATGACGATAGATGTTTGATATCCATAACTTGCGTAAAGTAAACACATCAAAAGTGATTGACAAAATTCTCAGAACCATAGATATCAAAATATAGTTTAAGCAATTCACAGGAAGGAAACAACATGATCTTACAGGTACCAGTAATTGAACAACTAAAAGCAACTTATAGCGCAATTTCTCTGAATTAATAAAGAAATTGTTAATGTAGGAACTAGTTTACCATTTCTGGGAAACTGGTAAGCTGTTCCACTTTAGTTACTGACACTCCAGCACTTTCCAGAGCAGATGCTGTTCCCCCAGTTGAAACGATTGTGTACCTACATTTTACAAAGAGACAAACAAAAAGGTTGAATACTGAAAGCCTTAAAAAAAATAACGACAATAATAGCAAAGATGGGATGGAAAAGGTTTCATTGGCAATGTTCATGTTTATTCCAAATAATAACAACTCCAATATAATGCAAATTAAGAAGAAACAAAAGAAGAAAAAACTAAAAAAAGCTGAGGAATTGACCCTAAATCTTGAAGCCCGGTACCAAGAAAAGCCAGGTCCTTTTTGTCAGATAAAGATATCAGTGCTTGCTTCTTTCCTGAAACCAAACGCAGTTAATATAGAAACCATTATAAAATAGAAACGAAACCCAAAATTTTCACAACACAAGTATGTGTGTGCTTGAGATGGGAACTATCTATCTCAGTAAATTAATGGAGCTAGAATTGAGCAAGCTTTCCTCTTAAACGATTTCGACTGACTAAAACCATAAGAAAAGATTGCATAGATACTAAAACTTAAATATTAAAATGCAATTTCATAATTAAAATTATTTCTTATAGTAGTACCAGAGACAGGGGCTTGAGGTTCATTCTTTGGCACTGAAAGGGTTTGAGAATCAGCCATAGCTTTGATTGCAGTAAAGCTAGACCGCAAGGAGTTCGCGTGGACTTGAACGCACGCAAACGAAGCCTGAAAACCATCACAGAGAATAAAGTTTTGAACTTTTAATTAAAGATGAGAAATTTAGGGGATGATAATTTTTGTTTGAGACTGGAGTTACCGATTGAGAGCAAACAGTGGCGGCGTTTGAGACGGCCGAACCGGTGATTACTTGATGAGGTAGAGCGTAGGGAATGCGAGAGGATAGAGAGTTAGCAGCAGCGGCGGCGGCGGAAGCGGCTGTGGCGGCAGTAGTCAATCCAAACATATTTTCTTCTCTTTTCGAGCGTTTTTGTAACGGTCCACTGCTAGTCGAAGGGAAGCAACTGGTTGAGTTGCGTACTCTTAACAAGAACAGTTATCAAATTCTAAGGACTCCAAGATTAAACGACACCGTAAGATCTTTATTTTATTGCCATTTTTGGGACCGTCCATTTTTTAATTTTTATATTGGAAAAATATATTTTTGTTTTGGTATATGCCTGAGGGGTCTGAATTAGCCCCTCCAACGAAATCTTGATTAGACTTAGCAAGAAAGGAAGGATTTTTTTCTTTTTTAATTTCTTTCTAAAGAAAATTTTAATTTGTTAAAGTTTCTTTCCCGAGAAACTTTTGAGCCTCAATTAGTCAGATTTGAATTAACTTTATATATTAAGTCACTTGCATTGAAAGGGAAAAATAAATTATAACTTAAATAGTTAATGTCACACCACACCAACATATATACATTTGGTTTTTTTGGGATGTCACACTATTATTTTTTATGATTTTATTTTAATAGTTGAATTTTAAGTTTTAAAGAATTTCTAGCTAATTATTTACATGTTTATTCCTTAGCTTTTTTTTATATATTTATAGAAAGTAAAAGAACCAATCCGATCTTTAGCTTTTCACATATATTATAGAAGGTGAGGAGATTGATCATAATAGACTTATTGATATTCCACAAACAAAAGTTTGAGTAATGGATATAAAACCTCATTTGATAATAATTAAAATGACTAAAAATAATAAATTTTTGAGATGACTAGGAATTTTGCCCTATTTTACAAATATCATATGAATTGAAACTCTATAGAAACCATTCCTCACAAGAACATCCACCAAAGGCAAAGTAATATATGAAGCAAAAAAAAAAAAAAAACGCTGGGTAAAAACAAGAAATTCCATCGAATCAAAAAGGAAAGAACAAAATAAGATATAGAGCTATTAACATTGAATCTGAAAACAAGAGCATCTTGAGGAACAGGGAAGACTTAAATCTTGAAAATTGGAAAGAAAATCCAAAGCTTTCTCTTCCAGAGTCCTCTCTAAAGTTGGGATGTAAAACCCAAAGTTCATCAAAATGAAAATGCTCGAAAATCTTAAACCTGCAAAAGATCAAATTGTCCATACTAACTGAAACAACATATAATAGCACAACAAACAGTAATTTATTGAAAACATCTTGTATGAATTGTACAAACTTGAGCGTATACAAAGTTCAGCATGTTAAACCCAAAAAGAAATATCTGTAGCTTCTTTACGAGCATTTTCTCCATAAAGCACATAACACGTGGTAAAGAAATCGGGCCTCAAGAACTATAATGCGGGGAAATGGGTAGAATATATTTGGGAAGAGAAGAGGGTAGAGAAAAGGATATAGGGAACCACAGCACGCAGAAGAAGTGAGGGCATGAAGAAGAAGGAAAGCTGAAGCTTGATGAGCCATACCTTCAGTGGCCAAAATGACCATTTCCAGAAATGACATGTTACTTACAGATAATGGGCCTTGCATTGGCAATGGCATCAAATCCCATGGAGAATATTAAAATTTGATGGTCCAACAGTGTCTGTAAAACCTCGTATCGACAGCTCTGGTACAGATAGATTTTTACTCAGCAGTTCATGGTCTATAAAGATGACAATCACTGTTATATCATCATGAAAAAACCGCCTACTTCCCTTATCAATCTTCTTAAGATCATCATATCTCATTTCCCTCTTCCTAGCTGCCTCCTTTAAAGCTGTTTTAACAAGTCTTCTAGCAATTCCCTAACATGAGAAGAAAATAATGGAAAAAAATGAGAAGAAAAGAATAAGTGCCTCGAAGATCAAATATGAAACAGGAAGAATCAGATGCATTAAGAAAATACATACATTACGTGGATAATTATACACGATCTCTGCAGCCTCCTGGTTTGTCATGTGCTCCCAGAGCCCATCAGATGCAAAAATGAGAAATTTATCATTGGAACGTAAGACTCTCGAACATATGGATGGGTCTGATGTCAGCACAGGGCGACGAATGGGCTCAGAAAGATGGAATCGTGGAAATGAAGGATCAAGGGAAAACTCTGGCCTCTTCAAGTATGCATCACCTATAGATCTAGATACCTAATATCAAAACACCGAGAGAAAGAAAACAAAAGGAAAAAATTGTAACTAATCAATAATAAACATATTCTAATGCACACATTATAGAAAAAAAAAAAAGTGAAAATTTAATCAGCACAAAAAATCTCATCAACTGCTAGATGAATACGCTTGAATTAAAGTATCATACACAGCTTGCATGATGAACTTCGCATGCAAATAGTATATTGCAATAAATGTAATTTAAAAAGTTAAATCTGATTCAATTTGTTTGCAAAATGGAATGGATGAAGGGGAAAAAATTCAGACTTGAGCCATCAAGGAGTTGGTCTTTGTTTTCTTCTGATACTTGCCATCACTGGAAAAGAACTCCAGACAAAGGGCAGAATGCATCCTCTCATTATAAGAAATGAGAATCCTTCCAGCTAGCAAACCTCTGTTATTTCATTCTTATTAAGATAGTTGTGACTGAATATCCCATAAACGAGCTTATTAGATATCATAATCACTTGATTTTACCAAATTGTGTCAGAAAGTAGTGAATTTATCATGGACAGCAATTACCACTCTTGCAAGTCAAGATAAAATAAACACAATGCTGCATTCAAGTATATGTCATAGAACATCCAACAAAAACACAAAATCGTCATAATTGCATTCATTTTGTTGAAGTGGAAAAATTCTTGAATTTGAACAAGTATAAGTTATATCCAACCACGACTATATCAAGAAATAGGAACATAGAAACAGAAAAGCCGCTATATATTCATTAGAATTCTAAACAGGGACAGCAAACAATATTGGAAGAGGAGTAAACCTGAATAATGCCTTTGATACGCCAAACACCATGCTTCATAACTACAATATGTGAATCATCAGGATGCAAAGATTTGAGTTCTTGTCTAACTTCTTCCACACTTGCATTATGATCCTTAGTCAATTGCTCAGCAACTATTTTATTAGATCTACCTAAACAACCAATTACAGCTCGAGAATCGCCAAGATTAGCAACATATAATGTACCTCTCCATATAAGTCCAACCAAACAACAAGATCCAATTGCTGCAATCAATGGTTTTATTCCACAAGTCCTACGTACAAGAGTAAGAAATCCATCCTCAGTAGCAGAGAAGGCACTTCTAAGAATTTCTTCTGACATGGTTCCTCTTTCTCTAGTTAACCCTACAAAAAGAATGCACCAATATATATATAGTTCAAAGCTTAAAACTTTTTCAGAATTGCTTAAGCTCCATCGCCTAGTATTTGCGATCAAAGTTAAGTCCTTCATTCATTTAATTGATATTTAACCCAAAAATAAGGAATGTTCCCTTTACAATCTCAAAATTCTCAACACAGACCAATTCAACTGCAAATGAAAAATTAAGAACACAGACTCTGAGATAATTTTACAATTCATCAAGAATCCAATAAACTACAAGTAAAATCTCAAAAAAAAGAAAACCCCGAAAAACTACCATTAAAGCTTAAATTCATCAAGAAAGCAGTGCAGTCCTTTCAAATCAACACCAAAATCCAAAACAAATAAAACGCATAAAGAAAATCAAATACAAAAAACTAATAAATAAATAAACATAACTCACTCATGAGATTTTTGAACAGATGGTCTGAAATGAAACGAGAGGCCTCGGGCCCACCATGGCCATCATATACACCGAAAAAGGTGGCATCACGACCAGTTTCCACTTGGCTATGGTCTTCAATGATCTCATTGGCTTGAACAACAGCAAAAGAGAATTCCCCATAAGAGTGCTTTTCAAGGTCTCTCGACCAAAGAAGAGAGTCACCAATAGAAGAATCTTCATCATCATTAACACTATCATCCTTGCTCATACGGGCATATCGACTGACCGGTCTCCAACACGCCATTGCTATCCTTGCCAGCCACGAGAACATCCCTCATTTCCTTTTAAACCAAAACCCACTTTTACAATAATCTCAAGAATAGGAAAAAAAATAGGGGTTCGAAGATTTTGATTCTTAGTTATACTGAAAATTGAGGATTTGGGTCAATAAAGGGTAGTGAGATGACAATGGATCAAAGTCAAAAGAGAGGAAGAAATTGAAGCGAAAACTCAAGTAAGAGGAGTCAAATCCATGACGAGAGAGAATGCAGAGAGAAAGTGATTGACATTGAAGAACAAGAAATGGTGAAAGATTGATAGATCATTGTGTAGAAAGAGAGTAAAACATTGAGATTTTGAGCATTTAGAGAGAGAAAAGCAGGAAAAGAAAGTGGGAGAGCGAGAAAGAGAACATTTGTGTTCTGAGAGAGAGAGAGAGAGAGAGAGAGGAGTTGCAGAAGGAGAGTGGTAGGAGGGGAAAGTTGACGATGCGTGGGACTAATAAAATTTCCCTTGCTTTTTCTCTTTCTTTTTTCTTTTTTCTTTCTCTGTATGTTCTCTCCTTTATTTATTATTTATTTTTAATGGCTAGTTGTACAGTCATAAATATATATAAAAAAAACAAATTAAAAGCTCTTCTGCCCAAAAAATATTGAAAAAAAAATTAAAAATGTAAAATAGCATTTAATTCCAATTGGTTAGATTGTTTTATTGATGGATTTAGATTGTCTGTTGACTAACATGAGAAAAGCCATGTGCAGTAATTAAATTATAACCTTAAATTTAACAATTTATTTTTCTTAAAATGATAATAATTGTTGATTTTTATTTTATTTTTACTATCTTTTGTTGAGTAAAATATATTTATATTGCTGTATTGAAATTTGAAGTTGAAATCCATAAATTAATAATTATTTAACTAATACTTGCCGAATTGATTAAAAAGTTTTTTTTTTTCAAAAAAATAAGTTAATCAAAAATATTCTAACATAATTATAGTATGTTAGTGTTAAATTGATGGACCAATAAAATTAATCCAAAAGATTTAGGATTTGAATCCTAATTGACTCTCACCCTGATTGATTAGGGCTTAATTTTTGGAGGCCACCTTTGATTGAATGAGAGATGACTTTACTAGTACTCCAATGTACCAAAAGAATTTCTTTATTTTGCTTCATTTGATCAATTGAATCTTAGAAAATGATTTTTTTTTTTTTTTTTTTTGAGCCAATAAAAATTAATCTTCAAAGATTGGATTTGAATCCTAATTGAACTCTCTATCTGTTGATTAGGGCTTAATTTGGAGGCCACACCTTTGAATTGATGAGAGATGACTTTACCTAGTACTAGCCAATGTAACACCCAAAAGAATTTCTTCTTTCTTTCTTATTTGCTTCATTGATCAATTGATTTTTTTTTTTTTTTTTTTTTACTTTTATCAATGTTCCTTATATTACCAAAAATAGATTATTAAAAATATTTATCCTAGAGGTTAAAAAAAAACCCTAATTAATTTGTTTCTTAAAGAATCCAAATTAGTTAAGAAAAATTCTATGAGTCAATTATATCCTACGCGATGGCTTTTCTACTGTTTAATTTTGTGAATGTTGCTTATGTTTTTTCCCCACAAGAGAAGGCTGAAAAAGTAAGATTTTTCAACTTTTTAATAATTAAAATTAATTGTAAATATTACTATTATATATTTTTTAAGTGGCTACAATTTCTAATTGATTTTAAACACACATCAATTTAAATCGAAAAGTTAAATTCAATTAATTTAGTCCATTTTTACGAGTTAATTACTCAAATTGATCAATTACACTTTATTGATAATTTTAGAAAATTTTTTTGTTTTTGATTTCAGTTCAATTATAAAAAAATAAATCAAATAAAAATAAACTTAAACTAACTGGATTAAATCATTTCAGTTTAAAATTCAATATATATATATATTGATTTTTAATTTTGTTCGGTTCGATTCGAAACCGAATTGACGAACTACACACCCCTATTTCGAGTCAAATTGAATTTGATAATAAGACAACTTATGATTGAGCAAGTAGCATGACAAATTCAGGATCATTTCAATTTGTCCGCATCCACAAATTTAACATCACTTGGACGAAAAAGGTTTTAATTATTTTGCCAAATTCACTAAACTACTTGGAATTTTTTTTGTACCTCGTGAATTTTCATAGAAAAATCAAACATTTCAATATTTAACCATTTTCCAACAATAAATTTTCTTTAAATAATTCTAATCAAATTAGTCAAAACATTCTTTTTGGTTTTAAACATCCACCGTCCAAAACGCATCAATCCGACTAATCCGAATTTGCCGCGGATAAAAAGGGCTAAAGCGTTTAATTTCAAGCGTTTAAAAGGATTCCATGTCCACGACTTGAACTCGAAACCTCTTGACTATCCATCGGGATAATCAAAACGTTTTTTAAGAGATCATATTGTTTTATTTTTTATATCTTTATGAAAAATGAAAAGACTAACTAGACTACTAAATGAATATTTGCCATCTTATACAGAAAAATAAATATTTTTTACCTAGTTGGTAGCTGATTTAACTATTGTAAAATAGTGGATAATTTTTTCTTTTTTTTATTCATTGGAAAGCCTAATGGACTGAGATAACACTGCAGGTTATATAACAAAGGTAGCCTCCTCTGGATTCATTAAATCGATGAAAACACATGTGGTCGAGATCTCTTACTCCTCCTGTAAATGACAGGAGATAAACTAAACAATAATGGATAATTCTTTTTACTTCCAATATCTACTTTAACCCATTATAATTTGAAAAATCCAATATTAAGAATGGAAGAGGTGAACTTAATGGAGTGGTAGAGGCAAGTAGTTTTCCAAATGAAAAGAAGGCTCATAATAACACACTACACAAGTGACATGTGAAAAATTGGAGCTTTTTTAGTGTCACAAGAGTGTTCTTGTGTTGTAGTTTTACCTACATTATTATTAATCCAATCTAACTTATAATGGTACCCATAAATACAGTTGACAATAAAGATTTGCTGTTGCCTCTTGCCACCACTATTCAACCAAATGCCCCACTCACTTCTCACTATCCATTTTATTGCACATATCAAACACCAAAGGTTGTGTTTGTGTGGTTTTTGGGTAATGTCCTTGTCAATGTGGACAAGAACAGGTTCTTTCTATGTAGAGATTCCTCCACATAACTAGTTTTTGGAATGGTGTTCTCTGGTTATTTTATAGGCCTACCACCAATTTCTTGACCTTCTTCTTTTTTTTTGGATTAACTTTTTAAGTTAACTAATCAATTACCAGAATTTATAAATTAGAATTTATATTTAAATCTAGTTTTTATTAAATATATTAGAATTTATAAATCAACTTTAAATTGGTAAGGTTATAAAATTGACTTATCAAAATTAATTGGCATTGTAAATGAATTTATATTTAATAATTGGGATAGATATAAAATATGAAAATCCATTAGTAAATAACGTCTACTGATGAAATATATTTGCAAAAAGAATTCAAACGAAATGAATTCCTTTGTTCATGTTTACTAAGTGGCACTTTGTAGTTTATGTATCGTAGATTCATATGCCATTTTTTATTTTTTATTTTATTTTTAGTTTGGTTATATTTTATGGCTTGAAACAAAACGACGGATAAAATGAACTAAAAATGAAAACGACATTTGAAAACTCCTTTAAAGTTAATTAATAATTA